AAAAAAAAGTTGTTTAGGGTGGCTGCCTCTTCAAGCCGCTCTGGGTTCATCAGAAGGTTTCCCTGCTCGACAATCCTGCGTCGGTTTAAACTGAGAAGGGGGTTGGGATATTCCTCCCTGCGCTTCCCAGCCCTAAAAAGGACTGAACTGTCTCTCTGGAGTGTTCCAGGTCTGTCAGGGCCCCAGGATGTGCCACTGCAGCAGAGCTGGTGAGAAGGAACCCCTTAACCCCTGTCCCCTGCGTTTTGGGGGGGATCAGGAACCCAGAGATGGACCAGAAGAGAAGGCAGCAGAAAATGCTGCAGCCAACAGAGGGTCAGATACCTGAAGTTTTTAGTGTAAGAGCCAAAAAAAAAAAAAAAAAAGCCACAAATTGAAGCTTATTTATTTATGTTTGGAGTGAGGGGTTTGTGGTCGTTCTCTGGGCAGCACTTGGCATCCCTGAGCCCTCCCGGGCACCGAAACCCCGCTGTTTTCCGGCGGGGATTTAATGTGCTGAGAGCAGGTGCCATCTAGGGGACAGACAGCAGAAGACAAGGATGGGGTTTCACTCCCAAACCTGCAGTTTTGGCTCCGCCGCACCAACCCACCCGCAAGCCCAGGGGCTTTGGCGCCGAGCACGGAGAAACCCAGGCTCAAAATGAGGAGTTTGGCTGGATTCCTGCTCGGCCAGCCCCGAATGCTGAGCAGAAAGCGTAAATCACGGCATGGTTGGGGTCGGAAGGGACATTAAAGCCCACCCAGTCCCACTTCTAGCCACGGGCAGGGACACCTTCCACGAGCCCAGGCTGCTCCAAGCCCCGTCCAACCTGGCCTTGGACACTTCCAAAACATCTTCCTTCGTGCAGCAACTGCTGTCCAAAGCCACGGACCAGAGAAATCCTCAGGGAAGGTTTCTCTTCAGCACTGAAATCACGGGTGGGATGGAGCGCTGTGAGCTCGGGCTCTGTAGGCACAGGTCACCTTTCCAGCTCCAGGTTGGCCACGATGTGCTGCAGCAACCTTCCCTTCTCCTGCTGCTCTCCAGGGGGATGTGTCCTGCTGGCTTTTAAAGAGAGGTTTTGGCCAGAAGTCCTTGCTCCTCATTACCCACTTGTCTCCCTCACAAGTGCCACATCCACAGGGATTTGAAATCCCTCCAGGGATGGGGATCCACCCCTGCCCTGGGCAGCTGTGCCAGGGATGGACAGCCCTTTTTGTGAAGGAATTTTCCCCAATATCCAACCCAAACCTCCCCTGGCACAGCTGGAGGCCGTTCCCTCTCCTCCTGTCCCTTGTTCCCTGGGAGCAGAGCCCTAATGAGACCAGCTCATTAATAAAACTCTGGCAGATGGGTGACTACAGGTGTGAGCCAGAGCTGCAGGGCCCAAGGGCTTGTGTAGGAAACTTCAGCTCAATCACTCATTTCTCACCTTTTCCTCTCCTATTTCAGGTTTTTGGGTTTTTTTTTTCACCGACTTCATCATTCCCCCGCCTTGGAAATCCTTTTGGCACCACAGGAGGAGCTGCAGACCAAAAGTTTCCTGTCAGGGGCTTCTCTCCCCTCCACCTCATCCCCAAAATGTCCTTCCTGCTTATCCCCATCCTCCCCTGGGACAACCCCCGCTGTGCAGGACGTCGGGATGAAGGAGCCAGCACGTCTTGCCCTGGATTTATCTGCGGGGGGGATGCACAGAGAAAACTCCTCGAGAGCCCTCCCAGGGAACCAAACGTTGCGATTTCAGCACCCAAAGCTGCCTGTTGTCCGTGCAGACTCCAGCAGAGGGAGCGTGGCTGCCTGGAACGGCGTTGAAACCCTCTGCTCGTCGGCAAATCCTCCTTTTGCAGATGAACTGTCAGGATGTCTCCTCCGGATGGCGTTTTCCGGTGACATTTCCAATTGCTCCCCCATCTGCTCCAACGGCAAAACGTATGGGGAGCCTTTATAAATAACTGAAAACGTTAATTTTATGATTTTATATATTTTTTTTCTATTTTAGGGAGGTGCAGTAAATAGAAAAACCGAAAACCCAACTCAGAGCTTTAAGTCACAGGTAAATCTTTAAATTATCCGTGCTGGCTTGGCTTTTCCTTTCATGGGAACGGGATTTTGGGCAGAAAGCCCTTTGCTGGTTGGATCCTTGGGGTGAAATCCTTTGGCTGCTGATGTCACCGCTGTGGGGTGGGAAGCCAAAGGGATGGGAGGATGCAGGAAAGGTCACCTGGGCTGAGGATTTCACACCAGGGAATAGGGACAGGGAAGTGTCCAAGGTCAGGTGGGACTGGCCTTGGAGCAGCCTGGGCTGGTGGAAGGTGTCCCTGCCCATGGCTGGGGAACAAGATGAGCTTTCAAATCACTTCCAACCCCAACCATTCAGTGATTCTGCGAGATCTTGTTCTGGTCCAGCCAAAACTGTTCCGCTTAAATGCCATAATTTCTTATTTGGGGTCTCTCCTGTTGTTCTTTTTAAAATCCCAGGTTGGTTTTTGAGGGCCGTGTGTGGTTCCTGAAAACAGGGAGAGGCAGAGGGGCCTTGGAGTTGATGAGATCTCCCAAAATTTGCATATTAATAACTGTGCCTGTTACCCCGCCATCAGACTTAATAGGGCGTCATATTAACAATTAATTGTTAATAAAAGAGCCACTTTGTGGTCACTGGTACACGGGAATGGTGTAATGTGTCTGGTGGAGAACAGTGGGAGGGCTTTGCTCCCCCCTCCCCTGCTGCAGATGGAGGGGGAAGCTTTTTGGTTTTTTTTTTCCTGTGCCTTCTGCTCCTCCAGCTTTATTTTGGAGGACAGTTTTCCTTGGGGTTCATCCCTCTGGCCCCAGCAACGTCCCTGCTCCTCCAATTCCGTGCTCCAGTCCCCTCAGCCAAAGGAAGAAAGCTCCAGTTCGTGGCTGAGCCACTGGCCATTTCCTCCCCTAATTGCCATTAAATGCAATTAGTGCTTCCCAGTGCCCCAGAAACAAGTGTCTTAGCAAGGTCACCGTGGCCTGTGGCTGCAGAAATGCTGCACCGAGGGTTTCAGCCGGAAAAAATAATCATCATTCGAATTCTTTCTTCGCACAAAAATCGGCATTTTCCCTTCTGTCCTCCCAGAAAATCAGAGAACGTGCCCTTACAGTGCGTGTCCCAAGAGCTGGCAGGGGCTTTCTGCCTGTCTTTGCAGGAATTCTGTTGCTCCCCAAGTTATGAGAGCAGCTCATTCCCCTGGAAAACTGGGGGGAAAAAAACCCCTCCTGGAGACCCACAGGAGGTTTCAAAGGGAGAAGCTGTGTGGGTTGTATCCTACAGAACCGGGGCTGGGATGGGGATCTGAGGGGATTAATGCTGCTCCCACCTCAGATCCTTCTTCCAACCCCTCTCCCAGGAGGGAGGAGGGCAGGAATTTGAAGCTCGGGCAAAGATTGATTGTCTCCCTGGAATTCTCCCGGCATCTGGCCACGGGCTGCCTAAGCTGGTCCTTAGGGGGTGCTTTTCTTCTGGGGTGAGTTTGTCCGGGCTTTTGAGGCTGCAGAACCCTTCATTCCTGCCGCGGGGAATTCTGCGGATCCCCTTTTCTCCCCTGGAAAGGCGGGATGGATTTGCCCGCCAAACATCGGCTGAAGGTCTGAAAAGCTCCCGGTCCCCAGGACCGTGCAGGGACCGGGGTTTGCAGGTTTGCATCGGTCCCATCCCACCTTGGCACGTCACTGCTCTTGAGGGGCTGGGAAAAAAAAACAACAAACACCAAACAACCCACCTGTAATGGAAAAAGATAAAAAAACCCGGGAGCTCCAGCACGTCCTGCCCTGGTGAGGAAGCTATTTTCGCCATCCTCCCACGCACGCTGCGAAGCTCGAGCAGCGAAAGAGAAACCCCGGCGTTAAGTACAGCCTGAACAGCCCTGTTTTAGCTCCCCGGCGCTCCCCTTGCACATGGACCTTTTTTCCGGGAACATCTGCCCTAAAAATCCCTGGGGAGTGGCACCGGCTCTGACCGGAGGTGATGCAGGGCTTGGGCACCGCCGAGATTTAAAGGTGTTTTTTCCCACCGTCAGCCCTCCACGCTGCCCCCAGGAGGGCCAGAGGGTGCCAGGGTGTTGGCACAGTCATGGGATGGGCGAGGGAGCTGCTGGCACCGAAGATGAGATTCCCGTCTTGCTCCTGAAGTGCTTAGCACCCGGCAGAGCAGCGGGAATCGCTTCCCGAGCCTCCAAACAGCTCCAGAGCCGCCTGCCTGCACCTCCCCCGTCCGAATTCCAGCATCCCAAGCCCCACACTGTCCATGCCCTCCAGGACATTCCCGAGGGAACTGCCCTTAGGAGCAACCAGTGCAGGAGATGTCTCTGCTCCTCATCTTCCACCCCGGGAGGAGCAAAGAGCGCCCTGTCTGGTGCCCTGGGCTGAATCACCGGAGCGATCCCCCCTCCAAAGTGTCCATGAAACACTCGGTGGAGAGGGAGGGGGATGTGGATCTTTGCACGTTGTTGCCTGGTTGGTGTGTAGTCCTCGTTTCCATGTTCCCAGGGTAAGGGAAAGGCTCATCTTCAGGGATCTGCCTCTCCCTGGCTGTTCGCGGAGCTGAATGAATGCGGGACCTGCCACGCGCAGGAGGGGGTGGGAAAACACATGGAATGGGGAAAGAAACCCTCTCCTGCAAAATAATCGTTAAAAAAAAAAAAAAAATCATGGGAAAGGGGGGTGCTCGGGAAACAGCCTTTCCCCGTCCCTCCTGCTTGCTGGGATCCAGGCTGCTCCTCCTGCCTCGCCGCCTTCAGAGGCATCTCCTCAACTTCCAGCCTTTCCCTCCAGATCCTCACTGGTTTCCCTCCCTCTCTCTCTCCCTCCCATCGCTGCAGGATCCAGCCCGGATCCCCCCCCCCCCCCCCCCCCCCCCCCCCCCCCCCCCCCCCCCCCCCCCCCGCCCTTCCCGCTCTTTGCTCCTCCCTGGGGCTCGGAAGGAGCCGGGGACCATCTGGGTCCCTGCCCGGCAGAGGGAGGGGAGGGCGGGAGGAGGGACCGGCGAGGCGGGGAGGGGACAAGGATGCTCCGGGGGTGGCTCTTTGCTTCCTCGCCTGCCCGGAGCTCGCAGGGGCTCGCCTGGAGGATGTCTCACCCCCTCGGCACAGGTGACTCTGGGACCCCCATCACCCCAACCTCGGGTGGGATGCAAAAAGGGGAGGAGGGGGTTGCAATCCGGCTTCGATTGAAACAAAACTTCGGAGGGTCGTGGGGGGGGGGAGGGGAATGGGGTTTGAAACAAAAACCAACCAGCAAACAAAAAAGAAGGATGCAGGTTGTGCGTGATGCTCACAGCCCCGCACGGGGGTGAGCCCTGCCCCGAAGTTTCCTTGTGGACGGCCGGGAAATACTTCCAGGGGTGCATTCCCGGGTGGCAGCTGCTCTCTCTCCCTGTATCCCTGCTGTGCGCGGTGGCGATGCTCAGGCTCCGGGAATGAGCTGTGGATGTGGACTGCGCGTGGTACCCGGGGGGGAGCTGCTTGTGACGGATCCGCAGCTCCCCACGGCGCTCCCGTGCCCGTGGATGGCTCCGTGTGGCCGCGCCATGCCATGTGCGTGGATCTGCAGTCCCGGCTTTGAAGTTTGTGTGTGACACCAGCGGTAGATGCAGCCGGCGGGGTGTGTGTGTGGGTTTGGGTGTGCGTGGATGTGCCCACATTCGTGGCTGTGACTTGTGCTGTCGCATTAAACCCCCCCCACGATATCCACGTAGGAGACCGCGCGTGTGGCTGCCAGGGATTAAATGTATGGATGCAGAGGAGAAGTGCAAGCCCGGCAGCGCAGCTCGGCGGTGGCACACAAATCCACGGGCAAGCTCCCGCCCTTGCCTCCCCGGGAAAAAAAGCACGGGGAATGACCGGGGAGATGCCGCAGGCGGGTTGTGCTCCTTTCAAAGTGGAGGGGAGCCTTCTCCAAGCCTCCCCCGGCAAACCGCGCGTCTTTAGGGAGACTTGGGAAGCGGCTCCTTGCTGAGCACGTGAGATCCAGCCGCAGCTTCGGCAGGCGAGAGCCTGGGAGGTGGAAGGGGAGGGAGAGGCGAGGGCGGTGGTGGTGGTGGTGGTGAGGAGAGAATATTTTGTTTTCTCAGCGCGTTTGTGACAAAATGCTCTGGTTTGTGCTTGCTGGAGGTGCCGCTGCCGGGGCGAGTTCAGAGCATGCTGCTGAGGGCCACCCCCAGGAGGTTCCTGGAGCAGCACCTTCTCTTCGTGGAGAGCGCAGAGCGGCAGCGCCCGGCTCGGGAATCGCTCCCGAATCCATTCATGACTGAGGAACCCCCGGCCGAGCCGGACCTGCCCCGCTCCAACCTGACCAACGCGACGGACTGCGGCGAGGAGATCCTGCTCTATGGGGACACCGAGAAGATCGTCATCGGGGCCGTGCTCTCCATCATCATCCTCATGACCATCGCCGGCAACGGGCTCGTCATCATCTCCGTGTGCATCGTCAAGAAGCTCCGCCAGCCCTCCAACTACCTGGTGGTGTCCCTGGCGGCCGCCGACCTGTCGGTGGCCTTCGCCGTCATGCCCTTCGTCACCATCACGGACCTGGTGGGGGGGGAGTGGCTCTTTGGGAAGGTGTTTTGCAACGTGTTCATCGCCATGGACGTCATGTGCTGCACGGCCTCCATCATGACCTTGTGCATCATCAGCGTGGACAGGTAAGGGGGGCGACGAGGCACCCGTGGGGGGGTCACCGGGCTCCAGAACGGGGGTGTTGCTGGAGGCTGAGGGATGCTGGAAGGGTTCCTGGGTGGATTAGTGTTCCTGTGTGTGTTTTCCAAGTGGCTTTTTCGATAGGAATTCGGGGCCTCAGGATCTTTGGAAGAACCTGGGCTCACAGGGGCCTTTCTGTAGGAACTCAGTGGCTCAGTCCCTCTGGAAGAGCTGGGCTCACAGGTGGTTTCTTTAAGTAACTTCCCCAAGTTACTTCCGTGTCTTCCCCCTTTAGGCAGCTGCTTCACGTTGTTCTTCCTTGGCTTGAGGAACAGCTCCTGTGGGATAGACCCACCTGACCTTCTCAGTGGACCATAAAACTATTCAAGAAAGCAAAAAAAAACCCCACCCAACCCCAGATGCACTTTGAGAATCCAGGTTCCAGGGCTGCTGGAGCCAGTCCTGTGGGATGCTCTGCTGCTCCCTGGACCTGTGCCTGGGCTGAGGACGTCAGCAACTCCCCCCTGCCACCCAGCCCATCCCAAACTGGGGGTTAGCCCAGTGAGTGCATTTGTGAGGGTTTTCTGGCTTCAGCTCCCACACCCAGGGCTGGGAGGGGAAGGCTGGGCCCTCCTGGCAAACTGGCAAGGCTCGGGCAAGTCAGCACCTTGTGGGTCTAATTATAGCAGCCCAGCCTGCGTCACGAGGGCCACGGCGCTGCCGAGCCGGGGGGCCAGGCCTGACGTGGGCTGGCACTGTCAGGGGGTCAGCCTGGGTTTATCTGGCCCTGCTGAGCTGGGCTGGCTTGTGACAGCGGCTCAGGGATGGGCCACGTGCCACGAGGTGTCCCTCCAGCCGTGCCACCTCCCCGGTCACCTCCCCAGGTGTGAGAAAGGGTGACGAAGCAGAAAGGGCAGAGCGAGTCCTGCTGCTCGGTGGCACCCCTGGTGAGGTGACAGCAAACCCTGCTGGGGAGCCCTCACTGCCAGCAGGCACTGCCAGCAGGCACTGCTCCCCTGAGACCTCCCCTTTGCCCCATGGCTCTGAGCAGCCCCGAGCTGCTGGCACAGAGCAAAACCCCTGCCAGGCCACTGCAAGGTCCAGCTCTTCTGCTGAACTCGCTTTATTTTAATAAAAGGCCTTTTGGAAAAAAAAAAAAAAAAAGCAGGTGCATTCTGAGCTGAGAGAAGCCTGACTGTGTTGGAGGGAAGGGATTAAATGCAGGAATGAAATATGGGAATGCTTCCTCCTGATGGGTGAGGAGCAGGGAGGCAGCTACACACTCATCGCATTGGCTTTGCTTTAAAAATTTCCTCTTCCTTTCCCCTTTCCCTTTTCCTCTTTCCCCTTTCCCCTTTCCCCTTTCCCCTTTCCCTTTTCCCCTCCCTCTTTCCCTTGGCTAAGGATGTCAGCAACTCCCTCCACTCCATCTGAAGTCCTCAAAACCCCTGGTTTATCCCAGTACATATATTCCCTTTCCCTTTCCTTTCTTTCCCTTTCCATTCCCTTTCTGTTCCCTTTCCTTTCCCTTTGCCTTTTCTTCTTCCCTTCCTGTTTCCTTCCTCTTCCCCTTCCCTTCCCCTCCTTTCCCAACCAAACAATCCCATCCCATCTCACCCCATCCCTTGGAGAAAGACTCCTCTGAACACACAGGCAAATAGGAACTGATCTTTCCCCAAAATCATTGCATTTGATTCCTCCCATCCATCACATCTCCCCTTCCCAGTGTCACTGTTCCTGTGAGCAGATCCCTATCCAAGGATTGATGTCAGTGGTGGATTGATGTCAGTTTGTCTTTTCCCATTAAACTGGGAGTGGGCAGGAGGTTTCTGGGGACACCACTCGTGCCAGGGCTGATTCCTGGGGCGGGGGAAAGGCAGCAGGGAGGAAACTGCTCCGTGTAGGATGGGCAGGAATTGCACAGAGGAAACCCCTGGATTAAATGGGAGCAGCCCTGGGACTGCTCTAAGCTGCACTCACAGGTGGTACAGCCAGGGGGGATCCCTGTAAACTGGGAGACAAGATCCTATTCCTGCCTCACAGGGTGCTCAGACACCTCCTCCTCCTCCTCTCTGCTGCACCTCTGCCAGGCAAACCCCACCCCAACCCTTCCCTTTCCCTTTCCCAGAGGGGAAAAATCCTTTTGGGATGTCAGAGAGGAAAAGGGAGCTGCAGCAAAGGAAAGGATGGATGGAAGCACCAGGTGGTTTCAGGCCAGGGTGAGGGAGGAGAACCCTGGGTCACAAGGGGCTGCCCCAGAGCCTGAAAATTCTGGCCC